CTCTCTCTCTCTCTCTCTCTCTCTCTCTCTCTCTCTCTCTCTCTCTCTCTCTCTCATGTGAAGGAAGTAAATACAGACATAAAAATAAATACCAAAACGCAAAGTAGACGTATATTCCGCGCACGCAATAGAAACATAAACGTCAAAAATAATCGATACCATATAATTCAAGTTTCACACTTCACGTACTGACAGCAAAATGTAAAACTATTATTGTAAAACTATCATTTCACTAGGAACATCTTACTTTAAATACCTCACTTGTAGCTAAATTTCGCTAAGCACAAGTGCATCTATTTTACACTCATTGTACAAGTCAAAAGTATATTAGCAATAAACAGTCAACAGCACCGTAACATTCACGTCTTCCTCCATATGCTGTGTTTCAATTGTCCGCTGAAAGTTACCGCAACTAAAGACTCGTCAATACTGCAGCATAGAAGTGCTGACTAGATGGCAACTCCTTTTTCCAGTGATCAAACTTTTTAGCAAAGTAAAAAATGTCGTTAAGCTGCAGGTTTCCCACGCTTTTATGGAAGTTTTCAGTGGTCTCTTTCGTATTGCCACATAAAAAATTCTTTGCGTGCACGCTCATAACCCTGCAATTACAAATGTACGACGGTAACAAGGAAAAAATACGAAACAACGAAAGCAATGGATGTTTCTGACAATGGACGTTATGTGCGTTCACGCGATTATAATTTATTCACTCACTAATATTGACTGCCAAAGGCGCCAACAAATCGATACGCAACCATATCTTTCGTTATGCTTATTTTGGTTGCTGAAATATTTATAACGATACGAACATGCACATATAACGAACTTTGTTCTATCGAGAAATATATGTTGAGAGTATACGTAACGAGTGAAGACTTCTTTTCCTCGATAATGCAAGACAGTATCTTTTTAACTGTTGGCATGGATCGTTCAAGTAGATATAACGGTGCTGTTTACCACTACCGGCCCACGTTTTTATTTAGATTAATTATCCTTCTATTTAAGAGTATTAACATGATTGAAGTTTTCATAATCTTCTTTACATAGATATCCAAGTGTGCGACTGATTTTTTCAATAAAATTTATCAAAATATATCGCTCAAAAGAACTGATTATAAAATTTGATTTTCTAAAAGAATATAATGGCTATTCGTCTCGCGTAATAACAAGAAAATGCTTCGTAAATTCCATTGATACATTAACAGCTATAAAAATTAAATTCTCTACAACTTTTTATTTAGAAACGTCGATATATTCAAATATACTCGTGCAGTCCATTTTTAACTCATTTGTTGATGTATTTGTTTCTACAGGCAAATTTTGCATTATATGTAAAATTTTAGCTTTTAGCGTAAAGTGAAACTTTAGTTTTCAATGACAGATTTCGAATGGGCGATTAGTGTAAATCGGTTTATGCTAAACATCGTCGGTTTGTGGCCGTCAGATCGGGATTCGCGACAAATCGTAGGACCGAAACTTCGACAGCTGTGCAGTTTTATAACGATAGTTTTCGTACTCATGATACCGAATTTAATATCATTGATAAGAGTATGGGGTGACATGATATCAATGATAAATAATATGCAACTTAGTCTACCTCTGACGATTACAATTTTGAAAGTCTGTATTATTTGGTACAAACAAGAAAGTATATTATGTTTAGTATAGTGTTTTCTTATCGATAACACTTGCAAAACTTTATTGAATTTGTAAAACACGCAAAAGTATCCACGTAGAGAAATAGTAACTCATAACTTCTTATTACAGTTTTAGCCTCTCTAATCGATATGATTGAAGGAGATTGGATGAAGGTAAAGATTAAAGAGGAGCGAGACGTTATGCTAAGATACGCCAGAATTACTCGTCTGATCGCTATGTGCGGATTGTTCATAATAGTTTTAGCATTAATCGTTGGGTTTGGTTTACCATGTGTCGAAATGACAAGAGGATATATTACCAACTTTACTAACTCTGGAAAACATTTACCGATACCAACATACTACCTGCACGATGTGACCAAGAGTCCGCAGTTTGAGCTGACACTACTGGCACAAATAGTTGCGACGTCCATGAATGGTATATCTTATTCTGCGATCGATAACTTGTTCGGACTATTAGTTTTTCACGTATGCGGTCAATTAGAAAATTTATATTTGCGGTTGACACATATGAAGAAGTATCTCAACTATAATGAAATTTTGAAATATAACGTCCAAGATCACATTCGTTTGATCAGGTACTTAAAATGAATTGTAATGAAAGATAGATACTTTTCGAAAAATCTTATATTTAAACACCTTACAAAATTACATTTTTCTCTGAAGAAAAGTTGCTGTTTCAGATCTATCGAAATCATTGACGATACTTTCAATTTAATGCTACTTGGCACGTTACTTTACTTTGCAGGACTATTTTGTCTGCAAGGATTTCTCATAATTTTTGTAAGTCCAAAATGATTGTGCACGAAATTACTTGATTAACCCTTTAAGTCATAATGTATCATATATGATATACCTTTTGTACCGTAGCTTTTACAAATTTAAATTAATTTGTAGAAACTTCGAGGCGATAGAGGTGAATTCATTGTGAAGCTTAAATGTCCCTCTAACAGAACCATCTGCATAGAACATTAAATTTTGCAAATTTAATTATTCATAAATAAATTAATATAAAGAAATAGTATTTTTTTTAAACTCATTTGCTAAATGCTGTAAATATAAACGCAACCTCAAAAATTTTTAAATTCCAGATGACGAAATCAACATAGCGAGCTAAAATACCAATAATCGGGATAAGTTATGTTTCTTCCCGAGTGAAGTTGAATCCGTGAACAACTTAAATTTAAAAAAAGTGATTTTAAACTCGTGATCTCAGAAATGCCAAAAATCCTCGGCTATCAATTTTCACGGAAATTGAGGGAATTTTTAAAATTGTTGTTCGCGTGCTATATTGCATCCTCCATTTTCAATTTTTAAAAACTGACTTTAAATTTATAATTAATGATCCTAAAAACTCCTAGAAATCGATTGAACAAAGGAAAAGAAAAATTCGTGACTTAAAGGGTTAAAGAGCTTTTCCTACAGCTCTCGATAATTTGAAACGAACATATATTAACAATCTACAAATAATACGTGTTGATCTACTTTAATATTTAATAATATTCTTCTTAATTTTCCTCATGCACAATGATTTTTGAGTATAACATGATGAGTTTCGGATGATACAGATTTTAAATTGTATAACTTGTATTGGTAACTATTTAGGTTATTAATCAAAAAGACCAATTATCAGTTACCCAGTTCGGTTGGTTTGTCATAACGATTGTAGCTCTTTGTTCACACATGTGTCTTTATTGTGCCGTTGGTGAAATTCTAGTGACACGGGTAAGTTAAAGAATATGACAAAGACTTTAATGATTGAGTAGAAAGAGAAAATTATATACTTTTATTACTTAAATAGGACATTCGGCAATGCAAAAAGTTAAAAAATATTCACTTATTGTTTGAAAACGGCTTAATCTCTTTTTCTGTTCTTCGTAAATTCTTGCAATATATAATAACAATGCTGATAAGTATTCGTAATATATTCGTAACACACACAGAGAGACCCGATCATATAAATAATATTTATATATTTATATTTATGAAGTATTTTTAAATAATAGGAAAAGTTACATACAAAATTTTAGTGATAAATCAAAAGTTATAAAGTTGAATATTGCAACATAATAATATAAGCAGACTACAAACAAATTCATATTAATATATATATATATATACACTCGTCAACAAATTTATCACATAGATTTATGTCGAAATTTCGCATAATTTTAAGTAAGCATAATACCCGTTAAATATTATCGTATTTAAATCCTGTTTTTTTTTTTTTTTTTTTAAGAGTGAAGTCTGTACTTTAAGAAGAGTATTTGTAGAATTTTGAATTGATTCTCTCCCCTTCCCACAGTCTTTCCAAAAGTAAGGACGTGTTGCGGCTCCAAAAAAATTGCATAATTTGACGTATTCTACGGAGTGGAATAAATTTTTTTAATTAATGACCGCAATAAATTTGTCTATTAGTACTACAAAGATATGAACTTTTACTTTCCTGTGATATTCACTAGCGCATAGAGTTTACTTATGAATTACGTATTGGACTTTGTTCTGACGGTCGGTTAGATGGTTCGACTCATCTGGATTTGCGTTGGACCATGTTAGTTAGAGTTTTATACGAGTTCAAGTGCGACGGCCCGTGGTTTTTGCTAGACTTTTCCGTGTATGGCCCTAAATTTAATGGCTCTCGGGCCCCGACGGATACGGTGCACGTCACAAGCACGGTGGACACATAAACAGTTTCAATTTTTACGACCAGATATTCTATGAGATCTTGGATCATGCCGCTCTACGTCTTATATCAATCGTGGGAAACGTGAGAAACGTGAGAAACGTGGTTCATCCTATGCGTTCGTTCTGACTCGTGATAATTCAGACGAAATAATATATAAATTGCGTGGATCCCACAGGATATAACATGGTACAGGACTTTTTATTCAATTTAACCCAATGTACAAGCACACGATACACAATATCATGATTATATTCACTACAGCTCATTTACCATATGAAGTGTCATCATATACAAATCTTTTTTATTTGACATCACGATATTAATTGCAAATATCGCAAAGCGGTATAAGACTTTTGTGGATAATTATTCCGCCTAAGGAACTCAGCTCCACAATCACATTGAGAAATGTTGTCAAGGATATCAAGGATATCCAGAAAGGATAGGGCCGCCTAATGTTCTTGTTTAGCGTGCCTGCGGATCGCCAAAGATTTTAGGAGACTTTTCGCGACTTCCTCCGTAGCATCATGGGGATATGCCAGAATATCCCACAAGCGGCCACTGTCTTTGCCGAAGACGATCTGACGTTTTCGCCAGATTCTCTCAGCTTCCTCCTACCTTTCGAAAATTCCCTCCGCCAGCTCCTCAATTTTCAGGGAGCTGAGGGAGGGCTCGTCAAGCACACAAATCCAACTTTGTACAGGAACCTTGAAAGGAACTCCGGAGGAAGTCCTAATTGCTCCCACTACGACTGTTTTCGACGGTAGTCACTTCGGACGGTGCGTCTGCCAAGGACGTACCGCTCAACCCATAATCCTTTAATGACAGTAAGTCATTACACTACCCTCCCCACTTCCAACCGGCCTGACATATCAGAGACTAGAATTCTTTTTCCTCCTCAACATTTCTCCATAAGTTGGGATTGTTAATAGAAACTTCACCTCTATCACCTTTTTTATAGAGGTCTTCCTCGAAGTCGACTGCATCCAAAGGTTAACGAGCCCGACCTACGCGTAGAATGGGCTGCTTTGGAGAAACGACACCCACTCGTCTCGTCACGAAGTCATTCTTTAGTTGAATATTTCATAGGCGCCACTCTTCTCACAGAGTGGCCGAGCCTCCACCAGATTCGGCCGCAGCAACAATCGCGTCTGAAATATGGAAGAGAATTACAAACCTAGAACCAAGTAGATGGGTTCCTTAATCGTTTTTTTTACCAAAAATATATAAGGGTTGTGTTAGGTTAGATTAAGTTAGATTTTGGGGAGGGCGTCCTTTCCTCACGCATATTTATATACTGTTTACCATATTTTAGTGAAAACCCTGAGCTTTATCCTTTCTTCTACTCTTATTTAATTAAATTTAACTTTTTGTTAAAAAATTAAAATTAATATTTAAATTAATATCTAAATTTTAAATTAATTTTTAAATGTTTTTCTTTACTAAATGAATTAATCAATCGCATAATAAAATTACAAATTCTGAAAAGATTAACAAATATTCTTATGTTAGCTTTAGGAATTAATGCACACACATTGCCACTATAGCTAATCTATTATATCGTGTCTGATTACTCCCAATCTTCAAAATAATTTTTTATGAAATCTGGCAGCACTTTATTTATTTTTAATCAATAGTTTTTCCAGGTCATGAGAGGCAAGGGAACTCACGTGAAAAAAGCATTCCATTTATTTTTAACCAATTGCTTTTCTAGTTCCTGTGAGGCAAACGGACTCACGTAAAGAAAGCACTCTGTTTCTTGTCAATTCCCTAAATCAAATCGCATACATGTAATACATATTTTTTGTAGTAATTTTTTACGTAGAATCGGAGGGCGCTATCAGATTTCACGTAAATTATTTTGTAACTTAATTCTTTAAACAATTTTGATATACAAAATTAATTTATTCAACTTTTTTATTAAGGAATTATTCTTTTTATCATACTATAAGATTCCATATGTTATCTAAATGATATTGTTGCTGAGTTAACAATAATCTGTGAAAAGTGCAATAATAAAAAAAATAATAAGTAATTTTTTATGATAAATAGAGGTTAGTTGGCATATATGTAATATATATTATCGTAGTATTTTTTTTCCAGAATCAAATGGCGCTGTCAGCTTTTAAAATCATTTTACAACTTAATTAAGTTTAAACAATTTAACAAAATTGCTAAATTGCTAAAAATGTTTTCAATTCCACTAACTCATTATAGACCATAGCAAACTCAGCAAAAATATTATCCAGGTAATATGTGGATTATAGTATCAAGTAAAAAGAATAATTTTTCAATAAAAAGTCGAAAAAATTATTTATTTATTGTTATAAACTATTTATTTATTTAAATTATTTATTTTTTTATAAATAACTTTTTCAACTTTTTTATTGACAAATTATTCTTTTTACTAGATACTATAATCGATATATTACCTAGATAATGAGTTAATGGAAGTGAAAAAATTTTTAAAATCCATTATTCAATAAAGAAATAGCGAATTGATATTTTCACACACACACACACACACACATCTCTGAACATCAAAGACCCATACTATTTCTTTATACTATTATATTATAATGAGAATGTACGTAGTATATAAAAATTATATACTCGTGATTCAGCTCCAAATCAACATTATTACAAATATTTATCAGCATCGCTATCATGTATCGTGCGAGCTTACAATGAAGAAAGAAAATTATAAGTCGTCAACAGCGACCAGACAAAATTGGTATAACGTAGTTATGGACAACGGGCATTTATATCTCTATCTTTCAAAAATTAATTTTCGCAA